CATAATTATAACATACCAAAAAAATCAAATATTTTATTTTTTAAAATTTATTTTTCAATTGCAGTTGACATACAGCATTATATTAGTTTCAGGTGTACAACATAGTGATTAGGCATATACATACCTTATGAAGTGATCACCCCAATAAGTCTAGTACCTATCTGACATAATTATGACACCCATATGATTTCTTACATAGTTATTACAATGTAACTGAGTATATTCCCCAAGCTGTACTTTATATCCCCATGACTATTTTAAAAACTGACAATTTGTACTTCTTAATCCCTTTCACCTTTTCACCCATCCTCCCAACCCCCCCCATCTGTGGACCACCAGTTTGTTCTCTGTATCTATGTTTGTTTCTGTTTTGTTTGTTCATTTATTTTGGTTTTTAAATTCCACATATAAGTGAAATCATATGGTATTTTTCTTTGTCTGTCTGACTTGTTTCACTTAGCATAATATCCATTCATGTCACAAATGGTAAGACGTCATTCTTTCTTATGGCTGAGTAGTGCCCATTGTGTATATGTACCGCATCTTTATGCATTTATCTGTGGATGGACACGTAGGCTGCTTCCATATCTTGGCTGTTGTAAATAATGCTGCAGTGAACAGAGGGCTGCATATATTTTTTCAAATTAATGTTTTGAATTTCTTAATAAATTCTCTGTGATCATTTTATCTGATGGTTTTTCTTGGTATGTTTCCTTCAGGATGCCCAGGTGACCCTTGGTTATCTGTTCATATTTAAATGATACAAAGCTGATATTACCCTGAGACTGAGAACAGGCTTTCATTGAGGGTAGGTGTTAAGATTGTTGCTGGCCCTTTTGCTGTGAGAACATCCAGATCTTTTCACTGGGAATGATAATTTTTTTAAAAAGCAGGAACTGATGATCTGATTCATTCCCTCTTCCCCCCTTTGCTTGACATTAAATGTTTGGCTGCTGTGGGGGTGGGCTTGATAGTTCTGGATATGGACTCACAACTGATCCTCATTTTAACACCATGTCCCTTCCCAGCCCTCCACCCACCTTTAAAATTTTCTGTGCAAATCGGCTCTATCTCTGGGCTGTGCCATTCCTCCTTAGGTCACCCCTTCTCCTTCCGCACACTTGTTGAGATCCCTGCTTCACTGAGACCCATCCCATTATTCTATTTATCTGGTAGGCTTATATGTTTTTTATTCTTCTGGAATGTTAGTGATATCTGGGATCAACCCTTCATCTTTAAAGATGATCTGTGCATCTGTAAAGCAACTTAGAAAATATTTTTACAACTATTTTCTCATTTAATCTTCCTGACAGCCTTGGAGTTGGGCAGGGCAGAGGTTATTGTATCCATCTTACAGATAAAGCATCTAAGTCTCAGAGGGATTAAATGATTCATCCGAGGTCACATTGCAAGTTGGGGATGGAGCCAGGATTCAGGGTGTTCAGGCCCCAACCTTGGTCCAGAGTGAGACGCGAGAGCTTTGGAGGCACGGAGAATGGGACTCAGACAATGGTAACAGTTGAACTTGGGCCCCCAGCCTGCAGTGTCGCCACAGCTGTGTTTCTGTGAGGCACTGGCAGTATAGGGGCTGCTCTAGGGCCTGTGGGTTGCTGGAAGTAGGGGAGGGAAGCAGTGTGTGAGCGAGGATACCACTGTGTAATGACACTTCTCTTCTGATGTCACTTGAGCTTGAGAGATGAGAGCTGCTGTGGGAGGCTTGGGAAAGCCAGAAGGAAGGGTCAAGATGAGAGGAGGGGCTGCTTCCATCTCTTTAAAGCTGCCAAGCAGGTCCCATAGTTAGGAGGTGTTTGAACTGGGTCTGAAGCCCAAGTCTGCCTCGGCTTCCCAAATTCATGTACTTTGTTGCCAACCTACATGACTTTTCCTGCAATCACCCCTCCCCCACCTGACATGTGTCCCCTCTGTAGCTGAGGCTTGCCCTGTTTGGGAACAACATATATCTCCCTGCAATTAAACACAGGGAAACAGCTCTGTGGAATGAACCTGTTAGGTTTTTTTGTTGTTGTTGTTGTTTTAAAAAAATATATCTTTATTGATTTCAGAGAGAGGAAAGGAGAGGGAGAGAGAGAGATAGAAACATCAATGATGAGAGAGTCATTGATCAAGCTCGCAACAGGGCATGTGCCCTGACCGGGAATCGAATCCTGATCTCCTGGATCCTAGGTTGCCGCTCAACTGCTGAGCCACGCCCGGCTGGGTTGTCTGTTTTTTTAATCTTACGGTTAAGCGAGTATTTGCCCTTTTTTTTGAATCATGGACGGCTTTGGGAAGCTGATGAAAGCTTCAATTTCTCCTCGAGATGTGCACACCGGTGGCTAGACATGAGATTGTGCCTATGATTCAGAGGGCTCATGGGTTCCCTTAAGCCCTTCTGTGGACTCCAGAGTAAGAACCATGGTTACAGTAGTTTTTTTGATAAGGCCCAGCTCCTGGGGGCAGGTCACTTCCCCATTCTTGCGCAAACCAGAATAACCTTTATAGAGCTGCCCTCTGTACCACGCCCAAGACCAGCCAGTTTCCGAACTGGTCCACAGCCAAGTGACCCTGAACAGCTGCAGGATGCAGGCCCTGAGAGGGAGAGTGTGGGTGGTGAGGAGAGGTAAGTCATGGCTCTGCTTTAAAGAACTAAGGATCTATGCATCATTTCTCAGTGTTCCTAAGAAACTCCCGTCTGATGCAGTGGAAAAAGGGTGCCATGATCTAATGTTTTTTGCTGGTTTCAGTCAAAGGGAGAATCCCACATGATTTAGACCTTCCTTTTCCTGAGAGCACCTTAGGGTATTACTGGCTGAGATGTTTAAAAACTAAGGAGTGTAAGCCTTGCAGATGGTTGTTCAGACAAAAGCAACACGTCTCAGGCTTCTCATCCCTTCCTTTGTGTCATCTGGAAATTGTGATCTGCCCTTGGGAAGGAGAAAGAAAAGGGCATGCCCTGTCATGAGCCCTACTGTGTGCTAAGCATGGTGTGAGTGATGTACAGACATTCCCTTGGGGAAGCAGTCTCTCACCCTTTATAGACATGTTCTTGGGACGTCTGGGCAGGTTCTTGGGGGTGGGCACTTGAGGAGGAATATTTTAAAATGTCCCCTGGATTTGTTTCAATCAGATATGGTAAGACACACAGTCAGGGAAATGATATTGCGAAGGAAGAAGTCCTTATACTCTCAGACCCCTAGAAACAGGAGGCACAGCCGGCCATCCAGGGCTACATGGGGAAGCACCAGGCTTGGTAGGAGGCAGAGGGGTGAGGGGAAATCTGGGTTGGAGCCTTCATGTGGTTCTCACAGGAAGGAATGGGCAAGGTGGGGTGGACAGGTTTAGGATTGGCTAGTTTGAATAATTTGGGTGGGCTCTGCAGCATAGGGACTGCCCCTAGTGGTCCAGTACCTGGCCCTGGAATGATTAGGGCAGTGAGCTAGCAGTTGGGTTGATGAAGGAGGTGGTTGTGGGTTTGGGCTCTGGATTGGTTGGTGTGCATATGAAAGGCGTGTTTGCAGGAGAATTGTTTGCCATCTCCAGGAATCAGCAACCCCCCCCCCCCACCAATGCCAGAGCATCAAGAATACAGAAAATAATAGTTAATACAAAGGACCAGCCCAGGATTTGGCAGATGGGGGAGCAGGAAGGGAGCATGCTTGGGAATGACAACACTTGGTCCAGGCTGACCCTTTCATGGACTCTTTTTTTTTTTTTTAATTTTATTTTTGTTTAAAATATTACAGATGTCCCTTTTTCTCCCCAATGACCCACTCCACCCCGTCCCATCTCCCTCCCCAGTCCCTCTCCCCTCATGGACTCTTTTGTCTTCCACACCCCAAGGGTGAAGCAGTCGGAGCTGTTCGACAGGTGGAGGAGCCTGCAGATGTGCAAATGGGCAATGAACATCTCCGAAGCCAACCAGTTCAAGTACCTATGACTCGTCTGTCCTTTCCTGGGGGTTTTCTTCTTACCATCTCTGCAGATCCTCTTTGTCTTGCAAGGCCCAGTCCCAGGGCATCTCCCTGGAGCTGGCGCTGACCGGGCTTGGGAGTCTGGGCAATGGGGAGGTTCTGACTCAGCACCCAGGCTGAGATGGGCACCTGGTGGGTGTTGTCCTCCACATTGTCACCCCTGCAGCATCCCTGCAAGGTCAGTGGTGTTGTCTCCAATAAAGCTGAGGCTCACTGAGACTCATAAAGGCAAAGGTATTTGCAGGAGGTCTCCAGCAGGCCTATGCGTTAAGGCACATTAAGGACCTTCCATGGCCTCACCCTGTCTCCCTCCTCACTCCTGGGGCAGGTGCTCCAACCCAGCAGCCCCTCCTCTGAGCTCTTGGGCTCTGACAGCCTATATTAGATGTTTGAGTGCTGCTGTAGATTATTTCCTCACTGCTCTCTAACCAAAATTGACAGATTGTAAGCTCCCAGAGAGATAAGAGTTGTATCTTCAAGTACTCCAGTCTTTGAGAGCTAAGCAACTAGTGAAGTCCACTCTTTTTGATTAATGGTTAACTATAGGGATCCTTTCCACCTTGAAAATCTGTGAGTTTATGGTATTACTTTAGTGCAGGTAGGACTTATTAAATAGAATTGATAGGATCGTGGCAATGTGTGTATAAATTGGATTACAAGCTCATGGAGCCAGAGGCCTCTGTGAGACTGTGGAACCCAGCTAAGGCCTGACAGTAGTTTGCAAAGACCTGCCTATCGTAGAAGTAGAACGTGAACTTGAGCCAAATATAGGAAGAAGGGGAGCAGGTCCAAGGTCTGGGCTGCAAGTGCTGTCCCAAATCCACCCCTTCGAAAGAAGAGTTGCTGTGGGGACTGCACAGGCAGATGCTGCCCCCCCCTTGGGTGGGTGAGGCCTGAGGGCACTGAGGGAGTCGCAGGACGAGGTCAGGGAGATGCAGCAGGTGCTGTCCAGGCTGAGAGTGGACGGAAGCCTCATCAGTGGGATTCACAGTATAAGGAAAGAAATTAATAATAATAAGCAGCAGGAAGACACTGTGGCAGGAGAAAAACAGAGAGAAGGGCCCTTTGGCAGGGATTAGCCAGCAGTTTCCAGGGGAGAGACTCTCAGAAAACTCAGACCCTTCTGGGGTGGAGGTGAGGGACTAGTTTCAGGTGTGGGAAAGAGAGGTGACATCAGGTCTGACCATGCTCTAAAAGGAAAAACCTTCAAGGCCAGTCATCACTACCCTTTGCTCTTATTACAAGCTCATGGACCAATAAAGAGATTCTCAATTCAGGTTTACAGGAACCTGTGCAGTGAAGCGGGGCGGGGTGGAGAGGCTGTGCTAGAAGACGGGCATGAGCATTCCAGCTACAGGAAAGGAATCCTTTACCAAGGCCTTCCCTCACCCTATCGCCTACAAAGCAGACACATTGGCGTACTGGTTTATATATCAGGCACTTGGGAGTTTGGTTAGTATGTCAGTCTCCTACAGTGGGGTACTCTCCAGTGGGCTGACAGGATCAAGTTTACAGACCAACAAAGATAAACAGATCAGATGCTGGTTTGTCAAGCTGACCTGTGGCCCCTGCCTGGCCAGGCTTCTGGCCTTTCCTTGGGGACGCCTCAGTCACATTCTGAAATCCCACCTTCCATTGGAAAGAATGTTCTCCATAACCAGTAGCCAGCTGAACTCCCCTGTGAAATCCTTGCAAGAGATAAAGTCATAAAAAACTACTTGTATAACTTTCCTGGCTTTGGCAACTTGGAGTCACAGAATTTCAGAGGGTCAGAAGAGCCAGCTCTGTATTCCACAGATAAGGAAACTGAGGCCCAGTGAGGGGAAGAGACCTGCCCAAACCCCACAGCTGGTGGGGGCAGAGCAGAAACTAGAACCCAGGCTTTTAGACACCAGGTTGGCAAGCCAAGTTTCCATCCAGGGCCTTGGGTGTGAACTTTTCAGAAAACTCCTCCTGTTTTAATGGTCACCATCCAGGCTCCGTGGGGAAAGTATTCCATTCCTCCCATGGCCACCTGGACACCGGATGTGACTGTGCCTGGAGCCAGAGTCAGGAGAGGAAGGCCAGGGTGACCTCAACCCGCTGCTGCTGTTTTAGGAGACAGTGTGTCCTCGTGGGCCCAAAGTCCCCAGTATGAGTGGACAGCAATTTGTATCCTTTGTCAAGCCCAGCCCCTCTGCAGCCAGAGCAGGGGGAGCAGGATGTGCCCAGGATCTGACCTCATCACCAGGCCTTGCCAGCAGGCCTGGGAGAATGCACTGCCGGTGGGATGCCAGCCGCAGAACAGAGAAAAACCAGGCTTCTCTGGCTGGCTGACTCCCAAGCTGGTTTCATCAGCCACATACCCCCTTAGAGGGTGTTTGTTTTAAGCCTGCTTGCCTCATCTCAGTGTTCACCCTTCTGGGAGCTCATATTTGAGCGTTTTTGTGAGTGAAAACCACATGGTTCTTTTTTTTTCTTTTTTTAAAATTAAATCATGAACTCTTGAAAACTGGTTTTGGCAACCAGATTCTGTTTTCTGCAGGAAGTCATCCTGAATGACCCACCATCCCAAATTTCTGACCTTTCCCTATTCCTAAACCAGTTTCTAAATGAGTGAAATAGCACATTTCTGTCGACAGTGTGTATCTTGGCTTTTTGACCCCATCATACAGGGAACACGCCTTGTCTGGAGCCTGATATTGGGGCCAGGAGCCTAAGGAAGAGCTCTGCATCGCTGGGTTTCCACTGGGGCTCCTTTTCCATTTCCATTAGCCTGTGTCCGGGAAGTAGCAGAGTGCTTAGCGGATCCTGATGAAAGCCCACATGAGGAATGATTTGTCCTGCAATTGGCAGGCATCTGGTTGTCAAAACACCTGTGTGACTGATATGCAGGATCCGGAGAGGCAGGGTCCCTGCCATCAAGGGGCTTTTATTCAAATGGGGAGGGGGTTGGCAGACTATGAGGTGGGTGGGACTCTGGAGGCCAGGGCAGGCAGTGGGGACAAGGCGACAGAGAGAAACCTGGCTCACACCTGAAAGGCCCAGGCGCTGGGAGGAGGATGGAAAGGGGAGGGGACAGCATGGGCAGAGGTGTGGGTGGGAAGGGGTGCGTGGAAGAAAATCGAGCTCCCTAGTCTCCCCGAGGGGCCTCTGTTCCTCGGGAGGCTCTGCTCTGTCCCGTGTCATCAGTCTCTCCTGTGTGTCTCCTGCCCACAGGTCCACCCTGTCCAGGTGCTGCAACGCCCCCTCCTTCCTCTTCACCACCCAGAAGAACACTCCCCTGGGGACAAAGCTCAAGTATGAGGTGGACACCAGCGGCATCTACCACATCAACCAGGAGATCTTTCGCATGTTTCCCAAGGTGCTGCTTTGGGCAGGGCGGTCTGGGTGGCGCAATGGAGCTGACCCAGCCTGGCCTCTGTGGCCATGCCTGTGTGGCTTGGCACTGCTCTGCTGTGCCCTGTGCTCTGTGCCCTGTGTGCCCAGTTGTCCCGGCCCTGGTTAGTCATTCTCTTAGGCTCAGTAGAATGCCTTCTGGGGCTCCTGGGGGTTCTGTCTGGCACAGTGAACTTTTGGGTGACTTTTGGCAAGAAAGTGGTTGTAAAATTTTGGTTGTTGTACTGCTTGTAGAGGACACCTGGAAGATATCTGGGAGAATGGTAGCATTTGTCCCCCACCCAAGGAAGGCACAAGAGCAAAAACATCCACGCAGATGTTGTGTGTGCACGAGAAATCACCAACCAGTACAAAACAAGGCACTGAAAGAGTGGTCCGGTGTTGGATGACCTTAGGTGGTTGTTTTGTTTTTCAAAGCCTCAGTCTGCCCATCTGTAACACTGGGGTTTGGACTAGGAATAGGTTTGGCTGCTTATAACAGAAACTCTAAAATATCAGAGATGTAAAGAAGATAGGCATTTATTTTTTCAATTCATACACAAGAGATCTGGAGGTAGCTGTTCATCCAGGGCTAGCACAGTGGCTCCCTGGTCATGGGGACCACAGAGTGAGTGATCCCTGAGAGTGAACTGCTCAGATTACTGAAGCTTAGGGCGATGAACTCACTTCTGGCCTGATTGCTGCATCAGACTCTCAGAGAAGGGGCCCCTGAGCTTGTATTTTCAGCTGATTCTCATGGTTACCACCAAAAGAAAAGGAAGGTTCCATGGGACATGTTTACTACCACCCCCTGGAGAGTTCTGGGCTCAGGGCATGACTTTGTGAGTCCAGTTTGTAGAAATGCTGATTGGGGGTGTGTTCAGATCTTTCTGGATGACATCTGAGGGCCTGGGCTGCCTGGTTTCTCAGGAGAGTGCTAATGAAACAAGGCCCAGGGTTTCTGGGCATTCTGTTACTCTCAGTGGAGTGTCTGGTAAGACTGGGCATTGTAGGGGCACTGGGGGGAAGTTGGAGGTGTCACATGTACTCTCTTACATCACAGTGCTGGACAACGAGGGGGTGAGAGCCATCCTGACCAGGTGGGTCTTGCAAGGCCTGGACACATGAGGTTGACAGCAGGTGAACTTGCATCGCACATAGGTAATGCCAGTGGGTGACACACAGCTCGGTTATGACATATGGGTCCAAGGAAGGCCATGGGCATGGACTGCTGAGGCCCAGGGAATTAGAGAAGGGCTTGCCAACTATTCTTTGGAAAGGGCCACAAAGTAAATATTTTAGGCTCTGCAGGCCATATGGTCTCTGTCACAACTACTCACCTTTGTCGTTCTTGCACAAAGCATCCTGAGACATGAGTAAACAAATGAGTGTGGCTGTGCTCCAATACACTTCAGTTCCTCTTAAACACTGAAATTTGTTTATATAATTTTTATATGTCACAAAATATTTTTCTTTAGATTTTTCTCCAACTATTACGAAATATGAAATCCATTTTTAGGTCTCAGGCTATGCAGAGGTAGGTGGTAGGTCAAATGTATTCTGTGGGGCCGTCATTTGAGACCCCCTGAACTAGAGTGTGAGACACAGAAATCTTTCCCGAACTTCCCCAAAAGTGTGTATCTCTTTGGGTTTGTAAAAAATAGAGTTTCTCAGTCTCCTACTCCTACCCTGAAGATTCTTGTTACCTGGTTCTGGGAAGGAGCCCAGGAACTCATATTTTCAGAAAGTCCCCACACCCAGGTAGTTTTTGATTTATAGAAGTTTGGGAAACACTGACATAAAAAGCCTTTGATGGTCTCTCCAAAGATGACTTGGTGTTTCTGTTTCTCTGATAAAACTCAAACAGTGCAGTTTCCCCCACTGGTCATGAGACACCTTTGTTTTCCTATCTTCGCCCCCTGGCCCTGTCTCTCCAGGGAAAATGGGCCACGAGGAAGGAGAGTCTCCCATAGACGCTGCCGCATCTCCTTTAGGCTTAGCCTCATTTCCGATGATCCTGTTGTAGTGTGATTTTCCATGACGCCCGCCTGGAAGTTAGTCCCAACGGAAGCCCAAGATGCTGACGGGGCCACTCTCCTGCAGGGCGGGCCAGCTGGTATGTGCTGGGAGGACAGCTGCCCAGCAGCCTCCTGGTGTCAGACATGGAAGGGACCTTCGGGGCCATCCAATAATAACAACCTGGTTCCCTTGCTGAGACCCCTCTGTGCTGAGCGCTGCACTGGGCAGGCCTTTCACTGACACCAGTGGTTCTCCACTGAGGGATGGTCTAGGGATATTTGGCCATGCCTGGAGACATTTTTGGTTGTCATAACTGTGGAGTACTTTTGGCATCTAGTGGGGTGAGACCGGAGATGCTGCAGTGCACCGGTCAGCCCAATAATAAGGCATGTCAGGTCCAAGGTGAGAAACAGTTGCCTGAAACACACATTATCATCCTAATTTCACAAATTGCAACACTTTAATTTATAACAAATTTTATAAAATTTACAAAACCAAATCACTGAGAACTCAGAAATCTTGTCCATGGTTCCCTCACCTCATTATGGGGCAAAACCAAGATTGAACTTGGGGCTTATGACTAGGGGGCCCGATTCTGGTTTGCCCAGACTTCCCCAGTTTGACCAAATGTAAGTCCTACATCCCAGGCAAAGTGCACCAGTCCTGGGAAGCTGGGATGTTTGGTCACCCTACCCTTAACTACAGGTCTGTGCTCCTGCCCTATGCCTGCCTAATGACATCTGCCTCAGGTAGCCCACAAAGGAATTGTGACCTCAAATGGGAACGTGCAAAAGCAGGTGTCCCAAGTCTCAGGCCAGTATTTGCTTTTTCCTCCCAATTGGCCTGTGGTCCCTTGAAAAGCATGCCCAGGGAGACTTTGTGGGCAGCCAGTACCCAGACAAAGGTAACCCCTCCCCATAGAGGTGTGCCAAGTTCAAAGCTCTCTGAGAAGCTCACTCCCAGTGCTCTGGTGAATGTCACCATTACTCAGGGTAAGTCCTAGGCTCCCCCGTGCTCAGAGCTCTTTCTTTGTAGAGATTCTGGGTGTCCCAGCCTCTTACTGGTCCCCTGACGTGGCCTTGCTTGCTCACCCCCAGTGTCTTGTCCCTGTTGCTGCCAAGTCCTGGCATCTATCCCAGTCTATATGACCTTTCTGTCCCAGGCCTGTGTCCTCCTCATGGAGCAGAGAGAGGCTCTGCACCTTGCCCTGAGCTGAAAGGGGTGAGGTTTAGGGCTTGGCCCCAGGGTGGCCCTGCACTCATTTCTGCTGCCATCATCCCCAGAACATCTTCATTCATCATTAAAATATGTATACTAACAGTCATAAAACGCCGAGCTTCCAAACATGGCGAAAACCAAAGGCAAGCAGGGCCAGCCATAAGCTGTCCTCTCTTCGCTCTGGAAACCTAGAGCAACCCGGGGCTTACTGGAAAAGGCTGTGGAGACCTGGCTTCCGGGCCCAGCTCATTTGTAATTGCCTGTGGAACTGAGAACAAATCTTTTGACCTCTTTTCTCATCTTCAAAGTGGAATAACCACTTTTCTCCAATGTTCCCTACAAGGCTGACTCACAGGGCCATGAGGAGCAGAGGTGGACGTGGGTATGGAGGTGAGAGCACCTGGTGAAAGCTGTGACCCTGTCTCCCCAGGACATGCCCTACTACCGGTCCCAGTTTAAGAAGTGTGCAGTGGTGGGCAACGGAGGCATCCTAAAGAACAGCCGCTGCGGGAGGGAGATCAATAGCGCTGACTTTGTCTTCAGGTAAAAGAACCACCCTGGTCTGCACCTGCCACTTCTGCCCCCACAGCCCCCCCTTGTGCCCTTCCCTTGTGGTGCCCCACTCCTCAAAGCTGCCCTTCACATGATTAATGCCCTACTCTCTACCCTGCAGACCCTCATGCTCTGGGTCGTCCCTTCTCCTCTCCAGTGCTGACCCTTTGGGCACATTATGGAACGTCTCAGGTCCTCAGTCTCCACATCTGCATAATGGAAGCAAATGACAACAGATGTGAAGCTGCTGAGGACTCATTGGAGTCCTGTGCAGATCTGGTTGGGTTCTAGTCTTCCATGGCAGTGCTTAGAACCGGGGTAGCCTTGTAGCTGGCACCAGTGTGAACCTCACCCTGGCTTTTCCTGAGCTAGAGACTGGTCCTTGTATTTCTTCTTCCTTAGGTAGAACCCCTTCTTATCTCTGGGGATCCTCACTTACGTCTTTAGCCTGGATAAAGAAGATGGGTTGAAAATAAGAGCTTAAAGCAGAGACTTGGGTTGAGGCTGCGTGGGCCCTCACAGGTTGTAGAGTCACAGTAATTGGGCTATTGGTGGGGGAAGTGGCTGAAGTGGCCCCTCCATGCCCAGGCCACAAAGATTCCACCCAGCTGGCTGCCTCCGCATCGTTCTCTCATGTGATCCTCACCCCTTCCTTCCCCCTGCCCTGGCCCACGTCATCAGGAAAGACTGGCCACATGCCGTTGGGCTGCCTCGTCTCTTCTACAGGTGCAACCTACCCCCCATCTCAGAGAAGTACACCGTGGATGTGGGAGTGAAGACAGATGTGGTCACTGTGAACCCCAGCATCATCACAGAGAGGTCAGTGGCCTTCTTTCTAGACCTGTGCTGTCCAATATGGTAGCCATTAGTCTTGTGGCAACTCGGCACTGAAATGGGGCCAGACTAGATTGAGATGTGCCATTTGTAAGTATAAAATACACACCCGATTTCGAAGATGTAATATAAAAAAGAGGATGGTCCCTATCTCATGAAATTTTTGTATTGATTCGATGTTGAAATGATAGCATTTTGAGTACATCAACTTAAATAAAATATATTATAAAAATTAATTGCACCCATTTTTCTACTTACTTAAATGTGCTTACTAGAACATTTAAAATTATATATGCGGCCTGCATTCTATCTCTTTTGGACAGCGCTGGCCTAGACTGTCTTCACCTAGTGATGGGTCAGAGGGCTTCCAGTGTGTGATGGGAGAGGGCGGCTCCCTAGGCAGTGTGTCCAGGCACCACTGGGGAGAAGCCTCCTGCAAAGATCTCAACCCCCACCTGGTTTCCTCCTGGGATCTGTCTGTCTGGGAGGCCTCGGGGGAGGGAGTTAAGGTATTAAAACTCCAACCCCGGCATAGTCACGCCATCCAGCTCAGATGAAGGGTCAGAGGAGGGAGAGCTGTTAAAGCAGGTCAGAGGCCCAGGACCACAGCCAGTTAGCAAAGTGAAGGAGCATTAGACACGAATGAGATGAGGGCTGTTAAATGTAAAGGGAAGATGAGTGAGCGGCTGGGGGGTGGGGGTGGGGGCTGG